CCTTTTTACTCCTTCCTCCTGCATGGCAAACACTTCTCTCTTCCTTTCCTGCTCTCCAAGCACTTCCTTGAGGGTCTGAGGAAAGATCAAGTAGCCCTTCGCTTTCTATCTCCATTTTGTCACCACTTCAAAAGTAAGATTTTGTCTGCTTTTCTCATCTTTATTCTCGTAACTGTTGCAGCAACCAAAAGAAGAACATTAAAATCTCACTAAAAAGGCTTGAATCTTCACTGTGTACACAGCTACAATGTGGAAAGCACCAGTTCTTACAAAACTCTAACCACCAACAGGTTCAATACACAAAGGAAAGCCTAATCAAAGACACAAATGTCACCCTGACAAGGCTGTGAATTATATCCAACAGGAGCATATTCATGTCAATGAATAAACATGTATCATTCATGTTTCATGTAACCATGCTCATGCAAAAGAGAAACAAATGTGAGATTTCCAGTCACTGCCCACAAACCACGTGCACAGAACTAAGGGAGATTTATCTTGAACTGTTGCAGCTATAAGTAAGGAACAGGCTCTGTCTCCTGAGAGGAAGACTTCGTATGAGCTAACATTGGCAGCATGTCCTGCGTAACGGTTGGAAGATGTTTTTCAGCAAAGATTTTCTGTACAAGGCCTGCTTCTCTCCTGCAGAGCTGCCCAGGACTCTGTGTGCAGAAGAGAGCCAGCAAGGCAAGGGATCCACTCTCAGTAACTAATTGGTTTTACAGCTCTTGTCAATCTCCTTCCTAAATTGCTACTCTAGATATCACACAGATGTTGGGAACTGGGGCAAAGAGACCCTTAGCATTCATGACCTCTTATAGTGGGGGCAGAAAACAGCAGATGGTTATGCAACTTCTCTTAACATTGGAAAGTATGGTTTACAAAAGCAAAAACAACCCCCTTACAAAACTAGAACTAATAAAACACTCTTCAGAAGTAGTATGCTTGCCCAGTCAGTGAAAATAGTGAATAGGAAATTTCTATTCAAGCATAACAACTTTAATGTGTTTGTGAAAAGGTAAAGTATATCACCTGTCTTCAGATTTTAGAGGTACCTTATTATGGTGATGGGGGCAATGTTGTTTAGTTTGTAACAAAAGTAGTGACCTTATTTTGTAAACACATGGCACGGTAAACACCTGGAAACCTGAGAATTCTGCAAAGCTGGCAGAAATAATTGTTGTTAGCATTACATATCGTTATCCTGAAGCTTGCAAAAAAAGTTGTTTTCAGACCTTGGAGGGCTTAATTACATGGTTAGAAGACTGTTAATGCAAGTTAATTTGTTGAACACAGACGTGGTGACGCACTCAGTGATGTTAAGATCTACTGATGTCAGAACACTTGCTGGGAGACTCCCAGAAACTTGCAAGACAAGCATCTGGTGCTGGGAAATCCAGAGACAATGATCTACCACCTTCAAAATAATTGCCAAGTGATCAAGAGAGGCAATAATCTGTGTCACCGAATCAGACAGTGAAAGAAGGCAGCCACACAATTCCTATAGCCATACCAAAAGAAATACAATGTGTTCAGCTGCACATGATTAATTTTGCAATGACACTTCTGGATACACTTAAAACTTCTGTAGAATACCTTTTGAAGAATATCTTTATAGGTTCAAAAGGTAGAAGTAATCTCTCCAAGCACATCTGACACTAATACATGTAAAATCTAATTCCATGTGATAACTTTCTACACATTATAGTAATTTTTCGGTTGTATCTTTAGAATACCACACCTCTTTCCTCCTCCTGAGACAGAAAGGACATTAGTGCAAGACAAGAGTCAGTAATAAGGAATGCAAAAGCCTGAAGACCCTTAAGCAGTAGCAACAAAACACTGAGAGATGACCTGCAAAACCTAAGGCACAAAGATAATTTGATAAAATATTTATTTGATAAAATATTTATTGGCTGGTGGCCAATCTGTCTAGTAAGTCACTTACATAACTACAATTTAAAACAGGAATAAAAGCACATATAAGTAAGAATACAAATTCAAATCTAGGTGTTTAAATTAGTAATTGGATACCTGCATAAGTCCTGTAAGTGCAGACTGAAGAATTGCCTCTTGAAGAATGAGATACCAATAGACAAACTTGGGGTACTTTTGCCTGCCATTCTAATAAAAAATAAAATGCCATTACTTGCTTTCAAATCCTCTTGCATAAGTATGAACTGCTAAGGGAACTATTTGAAATACTAGGGCCTGAGCAGTGACGCCCTGAACGAAAGCTGACCTCCAGATGAACCTCACAACCTAACAATCTACCTAATATGTATCATATTGATCACATATGCAATATATAACCTTATGAATATATGCCAATTTATAAAAGCTTTTGTTGTAACGCTTATAGAGCATTGCTGTAACGCTTGCTGTGAAATAATAGTTGTTTAACAGTAGCCCCACTTGCCAAAAAGAGATAAACCTATCTCAAACCTTCAAACAGACCTCTATGTGACAGAATGTAACAGGGTGGTGACGGGCTCTGTTGAGAGACACATAATCAAAGATAACCAGATACTTTTACTTCTTCTTAACTTTTTTTCGGGTTCTAGCCAAGTGCAGGAAAAAGTTAACAAGGAAAAAAAAACTACACCGGATATTTTTCGCAGCTTAAGATATAAAGTTGTTTATTTAACTGTATAAAAGCGGGGACTGTTTGCGGGGAAATTTGAAAGCCTCATCTGTACAGTGGACACACTGTATAGAGATTTCCCAATTGCTGGGATGAGTTATCCAAACCCTCGCTGCAAACAGACTCCCCATCTGGATGATGGTAACTTATGAATAGGGCAATTGGTGATGTATCTTTCTTAATCACTATCACTAACTTTATGTAGCAATGATCAGGTGTATTACCTTATTTTATGCTTGCTATAGTAGTTCACTTATTATTTTGCTGCTTTACCTTATCTTGCTTTATTTTCTCTGTATTATTTTCCTCATTATTTTATCACTTTAAACATAAGTAAAAATAAGTTTACTTTTTTTTTATTTGGTGTCTGTGTTCTTTGTGCTAACCCCTCCAATTGGCAAAACACTATTACAGTGATATCATGGGCATCCAGTATCTTTCTTTCCACAAAGAGTGGTCATTAATGACCATGTTTAGTCGGCGTACCCTTTCTTACAAGACTGCAAAACCACTGGACAATTTGGGCCTTTTTGGAGGACAGCTTCTCTTCAGCATGATACCCAGCATAGATTTGTAAGATGGAATTTCATCTGGAGAATGGCTAGGTTTTAGTTGTCTTTCAGTATTTGGTTGCATTGTGTTTATCTTCCTTCTGAAAGGATTATCGTAAGGACAACATGGCAGGCTGAAGCTGCTCGAAATCCCCTGCAGGCTTTTCTATCACCATCTCTGATGGCTTTATCCCCTAGCAAATATCAATTGGCACAAAATCTTCCCTCTCAACTGGAAGTTTCTGTTAGTTTGGTTTTATACCACCCAGACTCAGCCAACTCAGAGTTCATCTCTCCAGAATTTTCATGAGAAATTGGTGCAAGGGAGAAAATAGGAATCCACAGAATTGGATTGAGTGCATGCGGGCAGGACAGCTAGCATCAGTGTCAGAGAGCTGTGAGATCAGTTCAAGCTGCAAATTGATAAAATACCCAATTTCACTGCAGGAAAATACTGTGAAAGAGGTAAATATTGTTAACTTTGCAGCTGGTGGTATTTAATTATGCATAATGTCTTCAATAGGAAATCCAGCAGCAAATATTTCTGTTAAATCATAGTAGTAACCGCGATCTGTCTGACTGAAAGGAAGCATGACTTTCAAACTTATGTAATACATACATTTGAAACCAGCAATCTCTGGTGAGCAATGATAAATCATCAGTTTCCAAAAATGCATTTCCATTGCTTCGAGTAGTAAGAGTGGCACAGAAGTCTTACAAGCAGCAAGCTGTTGTTACTCTGCAGTGGTGGCAACTGCCTAGCAGGAATACACTGTTGGTACTTGGCTGCCAAAAAGTGAATTCTCAGATACATGCATTTCACAACAGGGGTAAACAAGTAATTGTTAAAATTAACTACATGTCATGCAGCCTCTGCTACTAATTATAATAAGCTAAGTACACAGGCAATCTAATTCACCCTATTCTTAGTACGTCTGGTGTTGAAACACTAAAGAATGAAAAAACATGTTCATATGACTCCTATAAAATGAAATGAAGATGTATTCCCATGAAAATGAACATACTTGCTCAGCTGTTTTTTGTTTCCCATTGGTTTACCATAACATAGCAACAGCAGAGCTCATATTTCCCAACTCCTGAAACAATAAGCTCACTACATCTCAAGTAAGAACTACTGTTGGCTTTTGTTTGGCTGGCTTGCTTTTTTGAGAAAGAATGCAGTTATTCTCATTTATGCTGGCTAAAATGTTCATACCTTTCTTTGTAATGACTGCATCTCAAAAAGATACGCGTCGAATGTGATTTTTAAAATATCAAAGAATAAACAAATACAAAGAAAACGTTGTTCTACAAAAAGCATTCAAACTGATCTTCCAATAACATCCCTTTTTGTCAATGGATTAAATTAGCAGAGAGTTTTTCTAAACATTAGAACAGAAACAAAGAAATATCAAAGTAAAGGGAAACAAGAAAACTGAAACACCTATCAGTAAACTGCCAGTTTTCACTCTGGAGTAACTGCAGTTACTATTTAATAAAACGGTGCTATGTTGAGATTATTTATTTCCTGTTATGCTCCTTTCACCTGACAATCTAAAAAAATATTTTTAAACAGACAGCTTAGCAGCAGTAACTTTCTTCACAACATATGTTGCCTGAGGCTTGCGCACAGTTCCTTAAGCTAGTGATCATTTCTCAGTGTGATGTGCAGAGGCTTAATGGTGTACTCCTAATGGAAATTGTTAGATTTTTTTTCCATATCCCTGAGTCAGTAACACACAATTTTCCATCTGTTTTATAATAAATATTGGTAGTGTTTGGCAGGAATCAGGTAAGTGACTCACCTTCATCTAAAGGAACCTCTTCTTCCTCACAGGGAGAAGGAAGGAGGGGCTGTAGAGGTTCCATGTTGATTATGAGTTGCTTGTTCAAGGAGGGAGAGCTGCGGCTCTGGGTAACGCTGGTTCTAAAAGAACAGGAAAAACAGGGTCAGTTTATTCACAAGGAAACAACTGCAGTCCAATACGTCTCATCTCAGAATGGTTTTGCATAAATTGTACTAGGCCTTGAGCTATCATAATGAGCTCTGCACGCTGAATGCTGCTTGCACCTATGTTATGTGGCACTCTCAACAGATATAAACCTTTCAACATCTGAACTGTAAGAGGTGGTTTTGTGCTGGTTTACTTCCCTTTACGCATCCTGACTCCTTTTCGTCTCATGCAAGATCTCAGTGTGTTGCTCCTCGTCACACCGCACAACACCCATCAGTGTCTGGCTTCAAGGAAGGAGAAGGTAGAGAGGATACAAATAATTTTCCTGATGTTGTTCCATTGCCTCCAGGACTGGGTAATGGCTTTGTTATGGTTTGAGCACTGCAGACTAAAGACAAAAACAGGACCAACTGCATCCCTTCAGTTAACAAATACCCAGTGCTCTCGTTCTCACGCACCCCAGACACTGCCTCTATGCCATGCCTCCAGGTGCTCAGGCTGGTTTTCTTTCTTGTCTTACTTGGCTCTAGCAGGCCTTCCTGGTAACAGGTGTTGAACTTTCTCAGGAAAGTTTGAGGAATGCTGTTGATTTGCTTCAGCCATGAGGCTCATTAGCCTAAAATCATATTACTTATTACAATACAAAATTACAAAATGTCTCTTTAGATTAAGTTATCTAGGACTTACATGATGCAGGTCTGAAGCAAGAGTCCTGCAATAAATCTGAACCATTACATTAGAAAATATTTACTTTTGACAAAAGCAAAGATTAAAGGGAAGAGGATTCTACTTGACTTCAAATGGTATATAGGTACAGTGCTGAAGTTTCACAAAATGCATTTCAAGTTTGCACAAAGAAATCAACTTACAATTCCACACAGATAAACAAACTGACCAAAGGACCTATTGCAAGTGAAAAGAAGGGACGGTGTGTTGCTCAGATTTTAGGTAAACTTGGAACACAGATGTCCTACTGTAAGTAACATTACATGTCATTAAATATTCTGTGGGGATAAACAAGCTTTCTTGCTCAATTGCCATGATTCCTTGCTCATTAATATGTACCCAAAGCTACTTATGTCCTCATTTGCATTCTTTGAGCAGTCTCTAATAACTATTTAGTTGAAATTTTCACTATCCGAAGTTTTTCATTCAGATTACTGTAATAACAATCACTCCAACAGTTATACATCCCCTGGTTCTTTGTCCTTGCTGTAAAGAGCTATCAAGTAACCGCCAAAATAGGAGTTGTGCCTGGGAGCACCCATAAGGCTCCTACTCCATACTTATTTACAAAGATCCCTCCTTCAGGCATGCCTTGGAAGCAAAATATTGAATAACTCAGTGTGTATTTGTCAGAAGAACTTGTCACCACATTGAAATGGCGTGACTACACACTCCAACAGATTTTCAGTCTGTAGTGTTTTAAGTGTAGTATACAAACAGAAATATACTGAACAGTAACCTCCTCACAACTGCATGTTTCTTTCTCAATGCAGCCATGGTACCACAGAACGGACTTTGAGGGAGGGGACACAGGGAGAGAAAACTATATATATATATATATATATGTGTGTGTGTATGTCTGTAAATATGTATCTATTTATCAATCATGTAATTTCCTCTGAATGTTTTGCATCTGAAAAACTACGATTTCCCATCCCCAAATCCTCTTTCACAGAGTAACTTGTTTCTAAAGCCTGCTTTTTTTTTCTGAGCTGAAAATTTTCTATGATTTTTGCCTACTTGTGCTATTAGAAGGACAAGCTATCTGCTTCTGTCTCTCATTTCAAAACCTGCACTATAAAAGTTCTTGAAATCATTAGATTTTTTAATAGTCTAAGAAACTGAACCTGGAGCTACCGTAATATTATAAACGCAAGCATTTTAAGAAGGTTAATCATAACAAATATACACTTATTTATGGGTGTTAAATACATATAACACTGCTCTATAAACCTATTTGCCCTCTGATCTGTTTCTTTATGTACACGAAGAGTTTTAAACAAAATGTTTACAATACTTTAAATACTGAAAGCAAAGACAAGTAAAATACAAGATAAAAAGAGATTTTGTGTTAAAATCTTTTCTCATCCTATGGGGAAAAAACCAAACAAACAAGACACCTCTATGGAAAGTAGGCAATAAGCTATTTCCTTATGTGAGTAATTATTTTCATTTAAAATGCATTTGTGTGCCCAATGATGGACCTATACTCTGCCTTCTGGGTTCTCAGTTAACACATTCTAGGCTGTCACTTACCCTGTTTTTAACGTAATCTGTAAAAGCATGTTCAAAAGCATCCCTGCATGGCCTTACTATTAATACATAGTAGTGCTAGACAACACATTTATATATATTTGCTGCATATATATGCCTACACTTTAGTAAAGACAATCCACAAAACCACACACATACCACCCTGAAAAAAATAATAAAAATAGAGATATGGCTGTAGAATATTCAGAAGTTAACTACGCTTTTAAATAAGTTTTAAAATAGCTTTTTCCTGCTGGCTTCTTTCTTCTCTTCTGAAGGATTTTAATTACGTTCTTATCAATTTTCACTGTTACTACAAGGAGTGATAAGGGCCAGAATGTATTAGTTTACTTGCAAAGTCTACCTGATTATTTCTAACAATCCAAAGCTTTTTTCTCTGAAAAAAAGATTATCTGATCTTTTTTCTCTTTACTGAATGAAGTTCTTGCTTTTTAATCTGACTGGATTATGGAAAAACTATCAAATATACTTTTAAACATACCCATATACATACACAAAACAGAATCTTTCAAAACTGGGCAAGAACTAGGAATGAAATGAGAATGTACTTTTCTGTCACGATCATGTAATAACAGTCTATGTCCTAACACAGAACATAATAGAAGCCACTTTTCTGACAGATTGATTAAACCCAGCTTCGAAGCAGCACAGATTAAGTTCCCTTGTGCAGGAAACAATAAGCTATTAGAATTTTGTAACACTAGCAACACATATTTCCCAAGGCTTGCATAGCTCGTTGTGGAAGCTCAGAATGACAGCCATTACCTTTCACAGTAAAGGAAAGATAATTTCTCTGTAGAGAACAAAAATCCTCCTTAGTCCTTAAACTTTAATATCGAATGTCAAGACATACCTGTGAACTTCAGGAGGTTCCCTCTGGATTTTAGTACTTGCCTCCACAACCTCTTTGGCTACTTTTCCACTGCATTAAAAATACGATAAATATTCAAGCAAATGCTAAGATGAGTTCATTACATGCCAAGCGCGACACATATATGAACAATTAAGTTACATTCAAAAGAAGAAGGGAAAAACAAAAAAAACCAAAACAAAACAAAAAAAAACCCCAACCCCTGTGTAATATAATGTCCCAGGTTAAGAATTCTGTGACCACTTGCCTGCAAAGCTACTGAAGAAAAAGCAATCTTTTGTAGTGCAACACTAGGAGTGGGACCGGACTGTACCACTAATGCACCCCTGGTCCAGAGTTGCCCAGTTACAGGGGCATACAATCTCCACACTTCTGGCCACGCGTCCTTGTTTTTACAGAAACTGCACCAAAAGTGGAGCCCCGCTCTGGTGAAACTGCTCATTGACAGAAGTCTGCATGAAGCCTCCAGTTTATTTTACAAGTGATGCTAAAAAGACAACAGAAAGCCTTTTCAATCCTGACCTGAATTAGGTCTGAACAAGTCCTCAAGAAGGAAAAGGCCTCAGTTTGCCATGAGTAATTATTGACATTTTCTCATACTTTCTGAAATGGTTTACCATGAAAAAGAAACAGGAAACACCCACCTATATCGAAATCTACTGCCTTTAAAAAATATCTTGCTGCTGGACATGGTCTTGATCTGACTGGATTTTGCATACCTTGAAGAAAAAGAACAGAGGCTGTCATGTCACATTTTCAGCACAGAAGGAACCTGATAAGCAAAAATGAACAAGGCAAACTACAAGCTTGGATATTTTTATACCACAATAATATTCAATAATTGGGCTTTACAACTTTTTTTAAGGTCTTTAGATAAATTAGAATATAAAGAGCACCTAAAACAATTCAGACAGCACAGAACGACTGAACATAAAACAAGTGATTACTGGGATAGCAAAGAAAGACAATTAAATGCAGACACTTGCTGAATCTCTAGAGACTTTCATTCACAGGATGAAGGAAAGACCGTGGTACACCAAAAGCCCCCAGGACAAGTTTGCCCTAACACCACCTTGTTTGTGGGAAGATATGGCTATTTCCACTTGCCCTCTAGTAAAAGAAAGAAACAATAAAGAAGTGGTAACACCTGTCTCCAAAAGTAGTTGCATTTCTGATGCCTCTATACAGTCAGCTTCTAAGCAGTCTACTTCATATCCTACTGCTTTTCTCTAACCATGAGGTATACAGGGTTGCTGTGTTGTTTATCACAAAGATCATGGAAGAACACCTCAGACACAGCATCTCCTTGAAGTTCTCTGCCTTCAAAATGCCAAACTGATTTCATATCAAGTCTCTCATTCTCAGACCCTAGTAGACAATCTTCTACGATTTATATCTACTTGAAAATAATCACAACAGTCAACCCTGAGCCTGGACTGAAACAGGACTAATGCTGTTTTTTCAGACATGCCAAGCTATCATCACCTTATCTTAAATTCCAAGTCTCAAGCTCTTCTGAGAAGAGGAGAGGACCAAATCTAATTAAGGTTAAGTTTTATTATCATGGATTACTTACACAACCTGGCTACGTCTGTTCTAATCTTACTAGAATACCCTATTGGTATCATACAGAACATAGAAAAGATTTGTCTGATGCTGTGAAGTAACTAACAGTTCACACTGTACAGCTCATTTTCTCTGAAATGTATGAAAACTTCTGCTGTTTTAAAATTGCTGTCCTAAGCCTTTATTTACAGATTGCTTTGGCTTCAGTCTCATGTTTGGAAGATTGTTGTTATTTTTCTGCACTCTGCATATTGACCATTACTATTGTCTGATCTTTTAGCCAGGTGCCTCTCTATTGAATATCACTACCAATCTTCATTTTACTAAAGTAGACCTCTTTAAGATCCACCAAAACTGAAACAGGCAAGCATAATTTTAAGCAATCATGTTAAAGAAATAACCCCTCAGTAGTGCCCCAAAGACATCTGGAAAGTAGAAAAAACCATGACATAAACAGCCCTGCAGACACCAAAGTCTGAGAAGAAGGACAGAGAGGAGGTGCTCCAAGTGCCGGAGCAGAGATTCCCCTGCAGCCCATGGAGAAGACCGTGGTGAAGCAGGCTGTGCCCAGAGCATATATCCACAGAGCAGCCCATGAAGGACCCTGCACCACAGCAGGTGAACATGCTCTGAGGGAAGCTGCAGCCTGTGGAGAGCCCACATAGGAGCTGGGCTCCTGGGAGGAGCTGTGGCCCATACAGAGGAACCCATGCCGCAGCAGATTTATCCTGAAGGACTGTGGCCAATGGGAAGGACCCATGCTGGAGCAGTTCATGAAGGACACTGGAGCAGGGGAAAAGTGTGAGGAGGAAGGAGCATTGGAGAGAAACTGATATGAACTGACTGCAACCCCCATTGTCCATCTCCCTGCGCTGCTCAGGGCAAGGAGGACATAGAGGAGTCAGGAATGAAGGACAGAAGCTGAGCCTGGGAAGAAACAGGGGAGAAGTGTTTTTAGTTTTGTCTTTACTGACACTTTAGAATAGAGTAAGAAGGTGAGAAATTAAATTAACCTTCTCCATGTCTCTTTTGCCCGTGACAGTAAGAGGTAATCAATCTTTCTGTCTTTATCCCAACCCACAAGCTTTTTTGTCTTATTTTCTCACCTTCACCTGTTGAAGAGAGGGAGTGAGAGAGCAGCTGGATGGGCATCTGAAACCTAGTCAAGGCCAAAACCACCACAACCATGTATTTGTGACCAGAACCTGAACAGTTAATATTGTAACCATTTAACAACAAGCACAGAAAGATTATATTCCTATGCATCTCCCTCAGACATCTTTACTTTCTATCTTTACTTTACTATCCCTCCTTTGAGTGGGAGTTGTTTCCTATTCCATATACTTGTTTCTAGTAACGTAAAATAAAACCACTCAAACACTATGCACTATTTTCCCAATTATATGTACTTCCAATGGAAGACACTTCCTGATAATATTTTTATTAATTCAGTCTCAAACACAGTAGGTGTTAAGATAGGGAATTAAGAGCTGTATTGTGCCAGCTCGTATTTCCTGTTTCTTCATTGAATGTATCAACTGAATAGATTATATTGATATATTATTGTATCAGTGTTGAAATGAAGGAATAAATCTTCTCCAAAACAAAGCAGGTCATTAACAGCCATGTTAGAAGACACATTCTTCCTACTTAGTTATTATTTACCCTTACAGCAGGCCCCTGGTGTTGCTATGCTCCAACACAGAAACAATTTTTATAAAAAAATGCAAGATGCTGTAATGAGAGACTAAATAACAAGAATAGAAGCTACATGCCTAAAGGGAAGTGTCAATAAACAGATCTAACAAAGTCAATGGAGGGCAGAAAGAATGCATGAGAGCTTTTTAATGAGGAACTATTTTCAGCTTCTCTTCTAAGGAATAGGGAGGAAGATATTCCTTTTTTCTAGTCAATTTACAGGCTTTTTTTTTTTTCTTTAGATTAGATGTCTGGCATCTTTCAAAACGTATCTAAGAACATTTCTTTGCTTTTTTAAATAATTGCAGAGACCTTTTTCCAATCAATTCTTACTAAACCTTAGGTTTCAAGGGAAAGAACATGACCTACTGGCAGAAGAGCCCAGAGAATCAAGCATAACAGATTGTTTCCTCCATTCTCAAGGCATTCAACAGCAGTGCTAAGACGAACAACTATGATCCCAGATACAAGTGCAGTACCGTGTCCATCCTACATCACACTACAGAGCAGCAAAAACAGTGCGCTGGAAATAAAGTGTAATTATTCACTGCCAAAACCCCCCTGCCTCATTCAGATTTTAAACAATTTATAATTCTGGCTTGAAAGGAAATAATATGCCTCATTAGCTTGCACATTTTCTGCTTGCATTTTGAATCCTATTAATGAAATGGAACACTTCACATTGAACAATCGTCTACTCACATGCACTTTTTTTTTTTTTACTTTTAGTACAGATAATAACTTTAGGCTTACATACTTGTAAAAAGCCTGATTCTCCACACCGCATTTCCAAAGATGCTTGCAGGCTGCTGGTGTAGAAGTATGGAATGACAGCACAGCCTTTTTCTAAGTGCAAGGAAAAGAAGGCAAAAAAAGTGACAAAAGTGTTGAATTCTCAAATATTGAAGTAGCTGTACCTGACAGCATCACCATGAACTGAATACACTGAAGACCAAGTCTTCCTGTGTAACCTCAATCTGTAATTCACCCACAGAAATACAAACCATACGTAACTGATACTTAAACTGCCCAGGCAATTGTTTCAGAAATAGAATGATTGGAGGGGGCAGAGAAGAGCATGTGTACAAGTGGCTTGTAGAATAAATCTGTGCCAACTGTACTCAGGACAAAATCAAAGGAGGAAGGTCTCTATGTTTAATATTCCATGTTGAACAGTTGGTGCGCTACTTACCATCCACTTCTCCTTGTTACCTATGTCCTACCATCAAATCCTCCTTGCAACTACACATACATCCCTTGATATCTCTGGCATTATTTCCACCCTCCATTTTCTATTGCTCACCTAGATTGCATCCAAAGCCATAATCCTGGGCTATATCACTCTGCCCTAGGGGAAGAGCTGATTATAGCATGCTGTAGGCAAACATCTCTGTGATTTCAATGGCAAGAGCGCAATGACAGGATTCCTAAATACCTAGGACAGACTCCAGACTATTCAGCTGACCAAGATCTGAGGATATGATCATAATTAGCCAAAACCACCTGATCCCGGTATCAGTGGCCACCTGAATTTTCAATCATATACAGATGTTGGTTTAGAGTGGACGGGTACAACTTTAGCTCTTTAAAATCCGTTAAAACTTGACTACACAAATGACAAAAACCATCAGCCTACACAAATGACAAAAACCATGAGCATTCAACACAGCACTGCATGAATGTTAAGTGAGAAATGTCTCAACCCTTTCCGAATTAGACATTCTTTTGACAACACCAATATTTACAATCACTCATATTCTATATTTTAGTTACAATATGAAGAACAATTACTGATTGTTTGGAAAGTTTGTTTAGTCAAAAAATAAGCAGCTTTAGTTGATTCTAAATCAAATACAGAATTTCTGCAAAAATATTAAACCTGACCTCTTTCTGAGCTCCAAACACATAAAAAGTCTTCCCTTCAAATTTCAGTTTATAGACATCAGACCTAAAAAGAAAAAATAACTTAAATACAGTAAAAATATAGATCTACACGTAAGAAAAGCAACTTACACAAAATTTTCCCTGATTCCCAAAGTCAAGCAGGCTGTCAAATGATAAAGAGCCTCATCAGAAGCCTAACAACCTTTAGCACAAAAGCATTTAATATTCTAATTTTCTTTAGAACAGAGAACGTAAGCCCAGAGTATTCCATTTACATCCCTATGCACCTTCAAAGAACTAACTTTGTCTGCTGGAAAATGAAGAGGAAATTAAAAGTAGGCAGAAGCTTATGTTTACATTCTATTTACTACACAGTTGTAATTCCTCTTATATCTTAAAAACTTAGAATGTCTAATGTAATTAAATTGAGGGAAAGATAACACTCGTCTCTGTCCTTATTTATTTGTGGTTTTATATCTCACATCTTAGTAACTACTTACAGACAGAACACAACAGAAAAAAAGAAAATGTTTGACAGTGGCCTTGTCAGTTGCAAACCTATGTCAAAATTTAATTTAACCAAGGTTGAAAGGACAACCTACATATTGAACAGTGGTGCTCCATATAAAGGCAATATGACGCCTTTGCTTAAATTGCACTGGAAATTGTGTCAAAACCACAGCTAAAATAGAGACATTGTAGATTTTCATAAACTTCTCCAAAGATTTTGGATGTCAATGGTTGAAATGATAACAATTCTGGAGACAAGGCCAATGATATCCCTGAGACTTTAAAACAGAAATTTTGTTTTAACATTAAACAACAACAAAAAATCATTCCAGTCAAGAAAGCTTTTCCATTGAAAAGAAAATCTCAAATATTAACTTGGATTTTTACTATGTAGTGCAAATTTCAGCTAGTATCAGCTAAAGCTACTAGCACTGACTTCTAGGTCTCAGAAATGAAAGGAGCAGTACATGCTGTTCAGATAAATTTCACCAGATCAACCTTCCAATGGCCAGTGTAACACTGAGATAGCTTAATATCTCTTCCTCTATCACTATTTCATTTTGTATCTGGTTTACAGGCCAATGGACTAAATGAATACACTGAGATCTCCAAAAGGACACATTATCTTTAAGTAGAATGAAAAACTAAGCACTGTGAACACTTGGCAAGTGCTATTCCCTCCTTCCTGCACCATAGGCTGACATTACAGTTACACTGTCCTTATGCCAAAAGCACCAGCCACTGAAGCACTGTGACTAGGGATACCTGAACTTAACCCTGGGGAAACTACAGCAGAAATCCAGTATCACAGAAGGATGGTATTTGACAGACATGTCCCCAGAGCTCCACAAGGAACTGAATCATACAGACAGGACTACACTGACTTTATACCTCTGAGGATTTCAGGTGAGTCAGCTATTGAGGAGGTTTCTGTGGACAGCCAGAAAGAGTCCAGCTCTACACAAAAAACCCACCTCACAGTTTCTTCACCTTCTGCCCATCTTCTTCCCACAAGACAGGCTGGGACCACTGAGGTAGAGCAGCCAAGTGTAAGAAACTGCTGTTGGCACCTGTTTAGGAACAGGGCTAAAATGAGATTTATCAATGTCTGACCATGGCTGTGCTCACTCGGCACAACATCACTGAGGACATGGCCAGCTGCTGTTACACCACCTGCAGGAGCTCAGTTGTACCTCTCCCTCAAACGTGGCTGACGCTGCCCAATTAAGTCAAATGTTTTACAGGAGCAGAAAGGAAAAGCAAAGCCAGTCAAACCAAGGACAACTACATAAGTGTCCACTTCTTAAAAAAAGAGTCTAAAAATTAAAAATTCAAAGGCATTCCCATCTCCTCCTCTGCTTACCAAATAAGTTCTTTTATAGTTTTTCAAATTGAGGTTAATTAAACGAGGAAACAGCAACATGTCCAAGAGTCAAATAAAGATGTTTACTCTTGTAAACTATTCCAGACACCTCTGCCAATAGGCCTCACTGGTGATCTACAGCATAGTTGAAAAATCAACTTACTCAGTTTTAGCATTTCTTCGTTATGTTGACTAATGCACCCTGTGGAATAATTTTCACTGGAGGAATCACAGAATCATAGGATGGTTAGGGCTGGAAGAGACCATAAAGACCATCTAGTTCCAAACCCCCTGCCACAGGCAGGGACACCCTCCACTAGACCAGGTTGCTCAAAGCCTCATCCAGCCTGGCCTTGAACAGCTCCAGGGATGGGGCATCCACAGCTTCCCTGGGCAACCTGTTCCAGTGCCTCACCACCCTCACAGGAAAAAATTTATTCCTAATATGTCATCTAAATCTACCTTCTTTCAGCTTAAAACTGTTACCCCTTGTCCTATCACTACACTCCCTGATAAAGAGTGCCTCACCATCTCTCCTGTAGGCCCTCTTGAAGTACTGGAAGGCTCCTATAAGATCTCGCTGGAGCCTTCTCCACGATGAACAACGCCAACTATTTCAGCCTGTCCTTGCATGGGAGATGCAAGACCAAATTACTATTATTTCACTTCTCATCTAAGATCCTTTAAAACAGAAACATGATGGGGCAAGAGAAGGAATATTCACATGGTTCATCTTAAAGACAACAAATGCAGGTAAAGATAGGAAGACAGGAAGACACAGCAGAAGAGACTTGCATTTTCATCTACTCTTACTTCACACGCTTACCATTTTAACAAATGAATTCTTTTATTCCCCTGGAAAACTACAAATCCTGCAGCTGTGAATCCTAAAAATGTAGTCATTCCCATTGAGTCCTTGAAAGAGAAAAAAGAAATATAATTTTTTAACCTCATGCAGTGAGGTATTTCTTACTAATAGCATAAATTGCTACTTTTCGATAGATTACTTCTATTTTGCTCTCATTTTCAAAACAAATTTTGCCTTCAAATTGTACATTTCTAGAGAACAAAGACTTCTCTTTGTAATACAGGCCTCATTTATTTCTAGGCATTTAAATGAGTAACAGCATCTAATGCTTTGTTTCCATCTACCTGTAACTGATGACAATGGGGAATCCTTAGGTATAGTTACTAATTTTTTTGAAAACATACATCTGTGCATTCATAACATGCTGACTAACTACAACCCAAGGATTCATATCTGCTTCAACACTGATATTTTTGAAGATTTCACAATATGTTGTTGCATGTGAGATACTGTGTTGGAAGTACCACCGACAGCATTTACTACAATAAGCAAGTACTCTTTCAGTACTAATGAGAACATACAGTGATACTTGTCTTTCAAATAGGAAAGACCATTTTTTAAATTTTTAATTCCACAATAAAAGTTCTGGCTCATAGTTTTTGAGCAATGATTCAGGTGAGTTATGTATTAAGTGGATTTACTGTCCATCCAAAGTTCCCGACCCTCACCTTGCTGAAGTTTGTCAACTGTATTGTACCTTATGTTCCACCAGTAAAATAAGGGGGAACAGAAAGAGCAATGCTTCTTGAGGAGCAGCCACAGCACGGGAAGGAGCTTGTTGCAAGAAGTCAGCACCTTGCTTTGCAGTTCACTTGCAGAAGATTGAAAAATTTTCCTTGAGCTTGGGCCATGAACCCCTGCATGCACCCCCACTACAAGGCCCGCTGCACAGATAAAGAGGATATTCTGAGACAGTTTTGACTCTGTCCTAAGTGCCAACATAAGTTGCTGGGGTGCCCTACAAAAATCTGCGGTTTACTAAGTCACTGACTTCACTGAGCTCTGAACCAGACCCTGTATTTCACACAGGAACACCATTCCTAGCAAAGTATATATAAAATCCAATGCAGCTTTATGTTGGAGCTGACCATTTAGGGTGCTCACCACCAGAACAGCTAACTGGACAGCACTGCTGTTCCACCAGATGAGATGATTTACAAGCCAAAGTAAAAGCAGCGGTTAAAACACAAAGCAAGTAACGCTAAAAACAAACACTGAAGACTATCCAAGATAAACCCAACTAATTAAAAATGTAGGTGTAAGGGATAATCGGAACTGGTAACTAAAATTATCTTCTTAAAGAGAACCACAAAACAGTAAAGTGGAGAAATATGCAAACACATATCCAGTTCTCCACTCTGTACACTTGGTTTGCTGATCTTTGTAAGATTTGGATATTTTGACGGTGTTCAAAAACTAATCTGCCAAAGACTAACAATTTGTTGCATTTTCTGGACAGAATAAGGCTGAATCCTGAAAATCTTGTCAAACACAAAATATTTTACACCAGGAGTATTTAGAGAAACCTTTGAATTAAATATAAAGAAATTATGAAATGTAATCAAAGTTTTTGTTATTACTCTCTCCTATGTACATTCTCCTATGATGTTTTGCTTCCTCTGGAGAGACCCTTCCTTTGACTGATGCAGCAATATGAACCAGTCTATGTTCTTCCAAGGATTAAGCATAATATGTAGTTCCAGGGCAAGTTCTATTATAAATTACTACCTATTTATGCCTGGGTAAAAAACAGATCTAAATCAATTTAAGTAATGGCTTTTTACTAAATGTTACTAAAAAGAATTGTTACCTTGCAAGGATGAGGATCAACACCATAAGTTTCCAAAGAATTTGCTTTAAGGAGCAAGTTAAATTCAGCGATAGCTGGGCTTTGACCTCTGAAAATACAAAAGAAACAGTAGTTTGACAGCAAAAAGAAAATAGGAGAAAAAGACTTTATGACTACAGAGTTTAAATGCCTAAGAAAGGAGGAAAGAAAAGTTCTTACTGAAATACAATTTCAACCATATTCTGTTTATAATATAAAGACATAAAACTTTTCAGATGTTTTGTCCTGCTGAAAAAAACTGACGTTCTCAGGTAAATTCAGATGCTGTTTTCCTGAGATAACAACATGTCATGCCATCAACCAGTGTTATCCAATATCCTGCAAGTATTTGTTGTCTTTTGATATAGATGCATGTCAGCCTCAATATGAAAAAAACCTCAGCATCTTTTTTCCACAAACTCTTGTTCCCCAACTCATTTAAAAGGATTCTGCAGATTAACAAACATTCCTTCCAGCGCAGGGTATAAACATGGCAATCATATTACACTGTCTACTCAGATGCATGCCTAATTATAGCAGTGCCTGTTACCATCATGAGAGTCCAGAATCTGCCAGCATTTCCACTGTATGCCCCTATTTTTAGGGTGTTTATAATCAACCATGAATATAAACTAAAGCCTGAAACATGTCATGCAAGACTTGAGTTCTAGAGTAAGGTTTATTATTTGATTTCTGCTCTTCCTGCCATCACAATAAGCTCTAACACAGACTTACATTGTAAGTGAACTGTTCCAAGTATTATTTTATTCATGTATTTGCATGACTGCAGTATGTGATTCTGATAGGTAACATAGTTTTGTGAAAAAGAGGAACACAGCAATAGTAATACTTTACCTTACCCCTGCATTTTGGGGGCCAGTCTCACACTGTAACCAATGTCACTTGGAAATCGGCATTTAAAAACTGCTCTGTGCGCTTGTGTAGAATAATTTCCCTGTAAGTCTGTTATCCCCCAGTAGCTAGAAACCAACAAGCATTGACACAGAAGATTCAGTATCCTGCCCAAAATTCAGTTTAACAATTAAGACAATGTCTAGCATGCCTGTAGATATCAAACCCTATTTTGAACCTATCAAGCTGATGCCTTGTGGCAACATGTCAATAACCTTTTCTGTTACAAAATTTTAACTCATGCTTATTTGTACTTCATCTTCTCTTATTTGTTCATCATCTCCCAGTCAATCTCATGGCTTCTTTGGCTTCTTCCGTATGTTTTTTGGTCCTCCTTGATACTACACTGCTTTCACTTTATTTCAGGTCACATTTTTGTTGATGTTTAACATTTAAAGAAAAAAAAAAGTGCCCTTCTTTCTCCCTCCTTTTTTTTGTTATCTTTCTCACCACTTGCCAACGAGGAAGACCATGTATCAAGTGGAATACCAAAAATTACAAATGTGCATTTACATGGCTAAATATTTAAGGGGAAGACAGCTTGAAAGCAGCAAACAAAACCAAAATGCTTCTTTTGCCCAATCAGCTTTCTGATGGCTCTACTGCACTGGTTTTCTCCCATTTCAATACTAATAAATCACAACTTTACAGGTTATCATAACTGTAAGACCACAAATGAGCCTTAAAAAGGCAACAAGTTCGTTTCATTTACCAACCAACTGCACAGAAGTAATTCACTAACTTGATCTAAATTACCTAGAATGTTTACATTGCCTAGTGAAAAGCCAAACAACTAGATGGCTCGATTGCTTACTGGAAATTGGTCCTTACAGAAAAATAAGATCATAAAATGCATCTTTTTCCCACCTCCCTTTGCTGTACCAAGAAAAGCAGACAGTCTTCTGGTTTGAAAGGACCAACTGACAAATAATTTGGAACAATGTGATTTGGGGCTTTTGGCATTTCCAAAAGGGTAAAAAAATAAAATTTCATTTATTATTAAAGTACAGAGACACATTAAAAAAGAATTAGCATGCTCTCCTCACCTATAGCCTCTGAAACTATGCTGTCTTTGGGCACATCAAGTGGAACAAGCTGTGGTACTTAGAAAAAAAAAAAAAAAGCAGAAGATATGGACAAGTTTGATCTTATCAGATTACAGGCTAATCAAATGGTTACTATACAAAGCCTTAAAAGAACACCACAAAGCAGAAGAGTCAAGGGCAATATCAAATGAAAAAATCTTCATTCATCCCTTATCAAGGGATTAATATCCAAGCTTGATAATAGACTTTTCATCTGTAACTTAGCAATGAAATTTTCCCTGTTAAATAAAGATGTAACTATAGCAAATCCTACCAGCAAAGAAAAGTCAATATTTTTTTATCAGTCACTGACTTAATATTAGCTATGCCTTTGATTGGCTTTGTTTAAAAGCCTTTAAGCTTTCTACGTGCAACAAACAGCCTTACACAAAAATACATAGAGTTCACATGGAGTAAGGGAACTTATGCAAGTGAGGAACTCACTCAACTAATGCCTGTTACAGTGGAAAACCAGGGAGTATTTAGACAATGCATCTCTCTCAGCGCATTCACTCCTGTTGACCTTACGTGACTTCTCAAATTTTTCAGTATGTATTTGGCATTAAATGGAAAATGTATTCCCTTTCCACATGTTGCAGCTGCTATAGCACCCAGCTGCAGCATGCCAAACGTTTTGAACAGTATCAGTAAAATAAACCGTTACACAGAAAAGTTTATATATACCATACAAATAATAAAATGTGGATTACTTGTGAAATTAGAGCTCCACAGTCATTAGCTCTGAATTAATGATTCAACGTAGGAATCAATCAATCTAAAAGTTCCTAATAAAATTTTAATGAAGCAAAGACTTTAATAGAAGACTGAGAAGTCTGCAACACACTCTGTTTTTTCCTTTAGGCTCATGAGAAGCATGCATTAGAGGCTGTACAAGCTCTGCTTATTGCCCATAGGGCCTCCAACTCTGAAGCACTTTGAAGCCCAGGAAGCTCAGCAGGGAGTACTTCCAGGGTGTGCCACAGCAATTATCTGCTTGTCTTGCTGGCTGCCCACACCAATTCACTCTAGAATTTTCTCCCCTTCATACCTCTCCTTTGTATCTGTATGTATCCATTACATACTGAAGTAGGGAAACTTAGTGAAAGTCAAGGATAAGATCACACAGGATTGAGCAATAATTCCTTTAAACAAGCTGAGAAGACTACATAGCAGTAACAGCAAAGAAAAAGCATTTTCAATGCTATTCTCAGTTTCTTGCTTCCTGAATGACCTTAGCAAAGTCACTTCATCTATCTTCTCTGATTCTTTTACTAACTTACAAAGTGCTGTGAAATACTACTAACATACTGCTAATAATAATAAAAGGCATAATTATTGTCCACCCTTTTGCCTCACCTCTACGTCAAACAAAGCTACTTGCTGAAGATTACAGTCCCCATACTATACTTAAGCATGCTCCATGTACGATTAATTTCTGGTTATTTATGGTCTGTACAGTGCTTCAATGTAATTAATTCAAAGAATAAATATGTACATAATGATCTGGCCTCTAGAAACATTATGCATTCACCTCCATGCAAACCAGGGAAAAGCACCAGCCATAAAGGTTTAAATAACATAGCTCGGTCTCCATCAAACACCCTTTGCCCTGCCCTGCAACCATGAACATCTTCACTGCAGTCCTAGGAGAGACCACAGGGACTACTTCAAGAAGGCTCTCCATCTATGAAATATTCTCCTTGTTATACCCCAGACCTTGTACAGGACATCCCACAGCAGAACAGGGTTACCCGGGTTTCCTTTTAACCTAGAAGAAAAAAGTCTGAATTCTGGGTAAAGAATCAACACATTTAGCTACTCTATATATCAATCACAGACATGCTTACCCCATGGCTGAGGTTTTGCCGTTGTTTCTTTAAATCTTTTTCACAAGTGGCTGAGACTCCAACTGCTAAACAACTATAGCAGTAAAGGTCTTGAGCAGTTTTCTCCTTTAAGATCAGGAGATTTTGGCAGACAGTAGGGATGTTTTTAAACACAGTCTGTCTGAGAGTATCTTTAGTCACAATGAAGGTGCTAAGGAGGACTATGTGGTACTGAAATAGGAACCTGCTACAGTTATCAGCGCTTCAGTTGTACTGGAGACAACAGCACAACTGTGGTGATAATTTCAAATAAAGGCATTAAATGAAGGCACTGGTAAATAAAATTGCATTATAGGGTGTAGAAACAAACGTTAGAATAACAAGGCTGGGCTTTGCACATTACCCAGGCAGCAGTGCTGCTGCCCTGAGAACTGCCTGGACCACTGGCATTGGGGAGAGTAAAGCCTTTAAATGGGTCTGCATATGAAAAAAGACCTTAGCACCTGGGAAGCAGCTGAATTGCTGAAATATTGCTGAAATATATAAAACTTAGAAAACTGTAGAATACTCCAATACAAATTTTAACTTGTGCTGCAAAATTGTTTTTTCACTCAGATAGATAGAATACTAGGATGAGAAAAACCTGAATAATCACTTTAAAACAGTAACCAAACTCTTTTACTGAGTCTATTCAATGCTTACGGGTTTAATTTTGCACCACGCACACTCTAATGATATGTTCCACTTACTTAACTCGTTCTACCAGAATATTTCAAATTACTTGTGTGCCTTCAGAGATCAGGCTGAGACAGTATCTCTGAAGTCTGTTTTTAGGTATTCGTATTTCAACTTTGCTTCATAAATTGATGCAGTGATGCAGACAGCTTTAAGCCTATTCAACAGATAGGGTACATTTACAGAGCAGGTGCAGTTTTAATTTACCTGTTATTAATTCAAAATCTATTCCCATGACACAGGGACATCTACTGAGCTACCTGTTTTTACTATCCAAACCTCACCATGAGACAGGTAGCAACTAGCTTGATGAAGGAAAACTGTACTCTTTTCCCTGGGCACAGGGTGGGTGGGAAGGTGTGTGCACGTACACACACATAACATAAATCTTTCCCAAAGCCAAAAAATTATCTATGTTACAATCAAAACAGCTACCTTTTTCAGTTCAAGTAAATTATCCTTTCTACTGAATACTTTTTGGAATTCATATTAAAAGAAAAATCATGTGGATTGA